TTTGGTCCGCCTATGACCTGTGATGCACCCTCCTTGCCCTGCCTCATTTTCTGTTTCGGGTTGATCCTGTAGTATAGGCAAAAACGTGTCAAAGTGTCTTCGTTTTATAGCCATTTTCATTGTTTCTATAGTATAGTAGTTACTATCCTAGTGTTTCATTTTTATTTTACTTAGTTTACATGTTTTTAATAATTGTAAAGCGCTTAGAGCTTTAAGGTAAGCGCTATATAAAAATGCCTAAATAAATAAATAAATATTGTCAATGTCATGAGAATCACTGTTGCTATAGGAACTGTTATTACCGTGTCTTGTGGGCGTCAGTGTTGTTTCTGTGGCTGGGTTTAAGCGTGTGTGCATGAAAACTGTATCATAGTTATTTGTGAAACAAGCTTTTCATATCTAGTGGGAAGAGGATGTGGATGTTGGATTGGGCCAAAGTCCTGTGGAATTATGGATGGGTCACTATTTTATTGTTTGTTAATGTGTTTGTTTGTTATTACGTGGTGCTAAATAATTGTCATAGTGTAAGTGTAATGATTGAATGGACCGTGCTGGGAGGCCAATCAGCTGAAATTTATTCAAATTGTGAAAGCACGTGGTCTGGAGTTTAATAAATGCCTAAACTTAGACAAGCAAAACATCGCCAAGCAAAAACATCACCAGCATCCCGGGTGCATGGGATTCATTAGCCATGGACAAACACTCTTCTAAGAGAAGAAAACACTTTGATTTTTTAACTAGGAGATTTTGTTCCATGGGCGGACATCATTGAAAAATTAAAGATAAATGTGTAATACATGTCCTGATGTTACTTTTATTTATCCAGGTGCATGGAGAGAGGCGATTTGCTTCCTAGGGAATCAGCTATTACTCATGAACAAAATCCTAGGCTTAGTTTTTTCGTTAAATATTGATTTTTTTTTTTGGCACTTTCATCAAACCAAACTTGATTGATGCCTTCAAGAGTAGTTGAAAAAATGTTTTACACTTAAAAGTAAATTCAATTCAATTTTGTTTTAGGGTGAGGATATTGTTGGTGTCGACAATGTCAGAGAAGTTTTTGGTGACGAAGAGATGTTGCTGGTAATGATAATTCCAGACAGGTTATTATTGATGATAATATCAACTTAGTTTATAGTTTTCAGAGTTTATGCTTTGGGATTAACAAAAAATGTATACTTTTTTCTGCCCATGTCTGATTATCTATTCTTACTGTAATATTGAATCCCTTAGGTAAATGAACTTATGTGATTGCAAGAATTTTCGAAAAGAAGATGGGGATGGATAACTTATACATGAAAAAACACATGCCAAACACAACAATAGTAGCACTGGTATCAAGGACTTATGGATCACACGGACACGGAAGACCGTTGAATACCAGGGAAAAAGATCGACAAGGATGAAATAATGATGGCAAGAGTTTTTAAAGAGTTATAAAAGACAGCTTTGGCATATGATCCACTGGGACTTAAGGAATTGTAGAAGTAATCATGGCAAATGCTCCTCTGGGATTTGAAAGAGTTAAATACAATAACGTTGACATATGATCCAACTGGTGCTCAAAGGCAACTAAGAAGACAATGAAATATTAGTTTCAATATTTAAAAACAAAAATATCCTGTGTTTTCATTTTTAATTAATCTCTGTAACTAACATGCAGCGATAAACATCGGAGTTATTTTCTACCAAAAGCTCTAATCCTTTCATAACAAAAATACATCAGATATGATGTAAAAAAATCAATTCGGTGAACATATTTATAATATAAATATAAGTAGTTTTAATTATATTGCTATATACCCAACAAATTCGATGTCTTTAAAATAACAATCAATGTCAATGTGCATTGTGATTACAATTATTGGAAACTTAAAAATATAAAAAATTGTAATGTAAGAAAGACAATTTTATAGCAGAAAATACAAATAAGGTATCTTAATTCAAATAGTATGGACATTCTATTTGTTGCCATTGCATCCCTAAATATAGGGATCGAATTCAAGGGGACTACTGCCTTAAATAAGACATAATAGTCGACTCGATATATAGCTCAAATTAGAAATCCTTTGTTTTCATTATCAAATGTAACATAATATACAACTCCTTAAAATTCCTAGCTTTTTAATTAAATGATACTTAAGAGAATAAATAAATGTTTGTAACAAATTAAAGGAAAATTTAAGTAATTTCTTTACTACTCCTTTTATAAAGGTACATTCTAAAAACAAAAACAAAAATTAAAATTTATCACAAAAATTCTCAAAGAATTCAAAAAACAAACATATAAAAAAAAACTGTTTGTTTTCCTTGACATATTTTTTTTAAACAATAAAATTACTTTTAAAATAGTTTATTTGAAAACTTAATTTCAAATAATATTAATACTGTAATTTTTAAATTTCTTTACGCAAAATGTTGTTAATTTGCTGTAATGTACAAAAGCGATAATTTTTTTTTTAATTTTTGTTACAAACATTATCATAATGAAATTCAATTTAACTATTTTATACTGAATTGATTAGAGTTGTTGCCAGAGCACAAATCTATTTGTAAACAGGTAACCATCATTTTTACATGTTTTTATTTATGTCGAGTGAACCCTCATTACTATCAAGATTTTTTTATTTTTTTTAAACGATTTGTGTAATTTACACCGGATAATCGACTGCTGCATTATGAGACGCATTAAAAACTATTTATCTTTGTGTATCTTTTAAAATCTCTTTAAAAACTGCCACATAAATACACACAAGATAAAGATGAATTGTTATCAATTATGCTTTTTAACTAGTCATTTGGCAGCTACATAAAATATCAAATGTTTTATTGCGCGTAAAAAAAATAAAAATTATTTGAAAAAAAGGAAATATTTATCAAATATAATAAAAGGGAAAATGTAATAAACTTGCTTTTGTGTGTTTAAGGATACATTTTCGGATTTCCAACCGACCCACTTCCCGTCAACCTATCAATCAGTAACTTGGAACATTGACTCTGTGCCATTAGCTATGCATTCCTTTAAATTTTTAGCCGCGCTGCTCCAACGAAACGAAATAAAATTCCCGATAACCGCTAAATTTGATTCTTGTAAAAATTTCGCAAGCAAATTTAGTGCGTAATTTTGTTCCCCCTAAAATAGTTGGTGAGACAAATATGATTTGGGAAAGCGGGTGGGTCATTAGAATATTAATATAGTTCAGAGACGGGTAACAAATGTGCGGTTGTGAGCCTTGAAAACAATGCGGGGTATGGGTACAGGCACTTATTGGGATTCTGATAAAGTGTGTTACTTGAATGCACATTTCGTCAAATTTTCAACCCCACACCGCCACCCATTGTCCTCCATGGCTCGATATTATATTTTATACAGGATTTATAAGAAAATCTTTTTTTTGTGTTTGGGGTGGTTAAATTTATTATTTAGGACTTTATTTCTACTGGTAATGTCCGTATTGCTTGTGGGTTTATAACGAAGCTTTCTTTTGTCATACGTGATCCATATTGCTCGGGGGATCGCTGTTCATCGGTCTTCCTCGTTAAAAGAACTATTGGAGGCGGGTGGATAAGGGAAGATAAGGTGAGAGCTGTAGGATTTTGGAAAGCTTTAGTTTGCAAGATGTTGAAAGTTTGGGAAACGGAAATTAGGCAAGGTTTCAAAACCCACAACACGCAGAGATAAATATCAACTAGAACAAATTAAGAAAAGAAAGGAGTTTGAGAAAAGATAATGAGAGAGAGTAAGGGGAATCGAGAGATAGAGAGAGAGAGAAATAGAAGAGAGAAAGTGATTGTGAGAAAAAGATTTGAATATTGAGAAATAGAGAGGTAGACACAGATAGATAAATAGAGAGAGGATAAAAGACATACAATAATATATATATATATATTATATATATATATATATATATATATA